CCCCCATCTAATTTTTAATCCCTATACATTATTTTTGGAGAACACCTAAGAACTTGTTGTATTTAAAGTCTGATGAACATTTTTTAATGAACACTTAATGTAATATTTTGCCAACTAGGCAACCTTATTCATCTTAAGTAGTTTAAGTGTTATCCCTTGTTGGTAAATGTGTCATCAGTCTGTAATTCCAAATTCTTATAACTCCAATATTTTTATTTACCTTGTTAAATGTTTCCTTTGCGTGGTACATTGTTTTAATTATAGGGGAAAGGAGAAATAAAGACAAAGTATAATAGTCCCTGTTCTAAAAGGCGCTTTCAGGCTAAGTAATGAAGGCAGATGAATAAAATAAAGTGAAAAATGTGCCAAGTAAAGCAGAGTGAGAGACTACCCAGCCTGTAGATTTCACATTGGATCATTAGTATTAAAGCATATGCCACTGTTTAAGCATTTCCCCCCACACTCATGCAATACTGCAAAATAAATGTTAAGTGAATTGAAGAGTATGGTGGATGATATTTGTAAAAACATAGAATGAAATATAGATGGATAGGTAATCTATAGACAGAGAAGAACTTTCTGAGCATAAAAGCAGTGGGGAAAAAATCACAGAGTCACTTCGTAAGGCATATAAATGCCTGATCACTATGTTGTATACCTGAAACTAATATTTTATGTCAACTGTAATTAAAAAGTAAATTTAAAAAATAAATAATAAACAACAAAAAAATCACAAAGGAAAAATTCAGTACATTTGACTTCATAAAGCTTCTATCTAACAGAAATCATTGTTCAGACAACAAACTAACAAATTGTCACACATAAAAGCTTTACGTTTCTTTAAAATATAAATCGGTTAAGAAAAATGCTTAAAAACCTCAACAGAAATGAGCAAAGGACAGGGAAAGACAACTCACAAAATAAAAACAAATGACTTCAAAACATTAAAAAAATAAATTTTGCTGCACCAGTAATCAGAAATGAGAGTATAGATCTTGCATATCCTCTCATTAGTGTCAGTGATGAATCTCAGCATCTGTCCAGGACTCAGTGATTTTTTTCTTGGTTATGACTGAAGCACTACAAAATTCTCAGTTGCCCTCTTTATTAACAAAAGATTAGATTAATTCTTCATGTTAGAGCATTGTTGATGTTGCCATATACTGATTCAGTGGAAATTATGAAATTTTAAATTGTGTGGTTTATGTATACTGACTTTTACCAAACTATTATATCTACCACACTTATTTACCAAGTGTAGTGGTGATCACGTAATAAATAGAATAGGATCCTCACTTTTCATTTTAAATTTTCATTTAATGGGAGTATCTGGTATTATACCTGTAAATTTGTAAATACAGAATGTACAGGTATAATAATGCTATTTAGATTGCTTCTGTACCCCAAATTCTGAAGTATTAGCATAAAATAGGCTAGGCTGTCTTTTCTATAATTTTCTTTTGTCAGAATCCTTTCTCTAGAATGAGAACATAAAAAGTTTATCAGCTTTTAAGTGGCTTACACTGTTGCTAGATATAAAAAGGACTTTGCTAATTTTCTTAATGTGCCCACTTGGTTCTTTTTTCCTAGTAAGTAGAATATTGATATTATTGTAAATTATCTTCTCTATCACTTGCATGTTGTAAAATAAAATAAGTCCTTACCAATTATTCTTTAACTACCTAGGCTTTTCAACCAAGAGCAAAGTAACATTTGAAAAAATTAGTTCTGTAAACATTAGCAGTTTGTGCATGGTAACATAGCTAGTAGCCATATTAGCAAGTAGACAGTTGAAGTTGTCATTATTGTGTCTTAAATGCCCTTGAAATATCCTGCAGAATTTGTTGGAGCTCTTTACCTTTATCTTACTGTTAATACTGTAAATTTATATTTCTAGTATAAGGTCCCTAATGTCAGATGTTATTTTACTTGAAATATTTATTTGAAAAAATTTTTTCTTTAGCATTTGTATAGTCATGATCTTAAAAATCAACTCTTGAAAAATCCATTCTTAGGTTTTTCTCTTCATTTTCAGACAAGGGGGGCTGCTTTTTTCATTATTGCTGTGATCTGTTTATTGCTTTTCGACAATGATGATCTCATGGCTAAAATGGCTGAACACCGTATCCTTTTGCAATAGATCAGAGTTGTTTAGTCTTGTAGAAAAGTAGAAGACTGGCAGGATGGGAAATGAAGTGACCAAATTAAAGTATCAGAAATTTAGGGACAGGGAAAATATTTTAGATTGTCCTCATTCCATAAAAAAAATCATTTGCCACTCAAGAGAATCAGTCAGTATGCTCCCTTGTAATTTAACAGTTTAAATGTTCATTTTTTAAGTCAATGGCAATTATTTAATATAAACTTATTTGAAATTAAATGAAAAATGTTTAGCATCATCTTGCCTGAAAAAAAAAAGTTCAAATTCCTTCATTTAGTATTCACTCTCTTGCTCTAAATTATTATTTCCAACTCAGCTCTACTCTTCTCTTATGTAAACCCAACTTACCAGTCAAATATGTCTACTCATTTTCCTGTACAGACATACCTTGTTCTTTTTTTTTATTTATTAGGGAACAGTGTGTTTTTTCTAGGACCCATTAGCTCAAAATCAAGTAGTTGTTTCAGTCTAGTTGTGGAGGGCACATCTCAGCGGCCCATGTGGGGATCGAACCGGCAACCTTGGTGTTATGAGCACTGCGCTCTAACCAACTGAGCTAACTAACGAGCCACCCATACCTTGTTCTTTCTTATCCATACACCTTTGCCCACAACATTTAGCAGAACTCAGAAAATCATTTTTGATTCTTCTAGTTACTGATACTCACTGCCCTAAAACTTCTTAGTTAACTAATAGCAGTTTACTTTGTTACAATGAAAGAGGGTACCATGACTTCGAAAGACTCCAGGTTGCGTGTTATATAGTTTCCCCCACAACCACCACCACCATTAACAGCAGCACCCTCATTTGTTTTCTGCTTGCTTTGCTGAGGGTTATGTGGTCTATGACTTAGAAATAGATTTAGGGCTGATTTTACATGTCATTCTAAAAAAGCAGCCTTAACTCCATTGGATAGGAATGGTCCAAGGAGCGTCCATTGTTCTCCCTTTGTTCTATTTATGTATGCATATGTCTTGGAGGTTTAAGTACTAAAATTTAACAACTATATCTTAAGCACAATTATAATTGTTTTTGAGACAACAAAAGGAATATAGACCATCCAATTTATTAATCATGTACCAAAATTAAATTTTAAATTATTTTGTTTCAATAAAAAACAACTCATAGACATAGACAATAGTTCAGTGGCTACCAGAGCGGGGAAGGGCAGTAGATGAGGGTAAACAGGATCAAATATATGGTAATGGAAGGATAACTGACTCTGGGTGGTGAACACACAATGTGATGTATAGATGATGTATGACAGAATTGTATGTACACTTGAAACCTATGTAACCTTACTAACCATTGTCACCCCAGTAAACTTTAAAAATATTATTTTGTTTTGTTTTAAAGGGAAACTTCATTGAAGGTAGTCAGGTTTGGAGCCCCATTCTAGTCTGTTGTCAACCTAAAATAATGTAGCTAAATTTTCGGGAGGACTTAAGGGTTCGCCAAGTTAATATTTGGAATTTTTTCCTTTACTCCAATTCACTTAGCTGAAGGACATCATGACAGTGCTCTAACTCACATGCTTTACACGGCCATTGCCTTCTTGGGTGTGGCAGATCACAAGGTATGTTCTTTTCTTTGTTGCTAATGTGATCAAAAGATTCTGATAAGTTACAGCAACTAAACTTTAAAGGTGTGTTTAGATGTTGGCCCCCGGCGCAACAGGGGTCGCCATGGTGGAGCTAAATTAGGCCTCAGGTTCTGGTGCTGCGCCATCTGCTGTGAGGACAGCCAGGCAGCCATGCTGCAGGTGCACCCGTGCACTGAGCGCTGCCATGCGCCTCTGGCTCAAGCCCAGGCCCTGCTGACCAACAAGCTGGAGAAGTTCCAGGACCACCTGGCCCAGTGCACCATGCATTGCAACAGCCAAATATTCAATAGATGCCGGGAGTAAAGAGCTTCAGGTGAAGCAGCAGCTGGAGAGTTGTGTGACCAAGTGTGTGGATGACCGTATGAACCTCATTCCAACCATGACCAGGAAGACGAAGGAGTCTCATCCATTCAGAAGGAGAAGTCTTTGCCATTGGCCATCAGGGCTGAGGGCAGGAATCTATTTAAAAATAAGAATGAGAATTGGTTTTTTTAAGCAAAGTTTATGAGTGAAGAAGTAAAGGATGGCAGCAAGTTTAAGGCATATGTCACTTGCTTCTGGACACTGGTTCCTCTGTTTAAATCCTAGAAAAATGAAATGGAAAAACTGGTGCTAAAATTTGGGTCAGAGAGTTTTTGAGAGTGTAAATTTTTTGTGGCAAGTACTTATCGTGGCAGTAGGCACCTCCCTAGTACCAACCCAGAGCCTCAGGTACCAGGTACCAACAGGGTGACAGGTTCCTCTAACCTGCCAATGATCTGCTGGAGTGTGAAGAGAGGTGTTGCTGTTCGTTGCCAACCTCCTGTTTACCAGAAGCATCACCACGCCATTTTCCATAAGCTGTAAAACAAAGCCCATGAGGTCACTAGGGAAAAAACGTTTCTGGGTCTTTTGTTTTGCTTGGTTTTGTCTTATACACAAGCGCATGAAGTTGATTTAAGATGTGGAGCTAGGAGAGGTAGTTTAGATAAGAACTTTGAAAGGTTCCTTTGGATATCAGTTTCTGGCCATCAGATGTGGATGTGCATTTCTTAAAATTCTCACGCGTTACATCTTTCAGCCTGGAGCTCTCCAAAAACATGAAAGGTGATGTCACACTGGGTATGGGAAGCAGACCTTCCCTCTCACTGGCTGCCATGATGGGCCCCAAGGCTGTCTGCAGCAGAGTGACAGGACAATCTTGCAGTGACACTCCCTTGAAGGGAGAGGATTTTGAATGTGCTCTATACCAGTACCCAGGAATGAACAGTGAAAGGAACTGTTGGCTGCTTAAAAGAGTTACGAAGTACTGGGTTTGGAAAAATCTGGTTTTCAGGAATGAAACCTATATATCCAGCGTTGTTTACTTAGCCTCCTGAAATAATATAGCCCTACTGAGACAATCCTGTGGCAACAGGAAGGTCACAGAAGAAAAAGTAAGCTGTGAGTAATGGTGAGCTGTGGCTCCTTTAGAGCAAAAGAGGGGCAGCCCCCATTACCAAATACCACTTTTACCTGGGGCCTTTGCAACATGCAGTGTTCCTGCTCCAGCCCTGGCACCTTATGTTTTGATAAGGAACTTGTTGTCTTTTTACCAGCTTATTACGTGAAATGATTATATAGCCTGTCTGCTGTTTCAGGACTGATACATTTTCCTAGTGGTATGGTTTTTTAAAATAAATCAGGTTTCATTTTTTCCTCCAAAAAAAAAAAAGTAAATAAAAGTGTTTAAAATAAGTCATCAGTAATTTGTGATACTGCTGCCATTTAAGTAGTTCAGGAACTTGGGATATGGAAAAACATACTATTCAGTAGTTCAGTTTCTTCTAATATTATGTATTTAAGGATTGAATATTGGACAGTGTATTTCTAATGAAACTTATCTAATTTTACTCACAGGGTGGAGTATTGTTGCTAGTTCTGGCTTTGTGTTGTAAAGTCGGTTTTCATACAGCTTCCAGAAAGCTCTCTATAGATGTTGGTGGATCCAAACGTCTTCAAGCTTTATCCCATCTTGTTTCTGTGCTTCTCTTGTGCCCATGGGTCATTGTTCTTTCTGTGACGACTGAGGTAAGATGAGGAATTTATTGGTAATAAGTAAAATGAATTGCTGTTACTTATAGATTTTAGTTAAGTACATCGTATTTTATTTTAATTTGATGTTGCAAGTGGCTTAAATAATCTTTGCTTTCTCTTTGTAGTTTTTGAAAATTTTTTGGAGTTAATTTTATTGTTTATGGAAAAATCAAATCAAATACTATTACATTTATATATCCTTCCCAAGCCTATGGCTCAAAAGAATCAGTTGAAACAATTTAATACCTACCATGTGTTAGGCACAGGGGTTATGGGTCACCTAGTATTTATAAAATTATTAAACAATGCTTTTGTTTTTAATACTTTGGGGGATATTGGAGAAATGTGCCAATATCTTATAGCTCTTATATTTTGGCATTTTACTAATTACGTATATTGAATCATAAGAATATTTGTTTATATATAAAGGGATTAACTAAAATATCTTAAAAGATTTGAACTTTACACGCGTATAGTATTGACAAAATTTTTTTTTTTAATTTCTAGAGTAAAGTCGAGTCTTGGTTTTCTCTTATCATGCCTTTCACAACGGTTATCTTTTTTGTCATGATCCTGGATTTCTATGTCGATTCCATTTGTGCAGTCAAAATGGAAGTTTCCAAATGTGCCCGCTATGGGTCCTTCCCTATTTTTATTAGTGCTCTACTTTTTGGAAATTTTTGGACGCATCCAATAACAGACCAGCTTCGGGCTATGAACAAAGCAGCACACCAGGAGAGCACTGAGCACGTTATGTCTGGAGGAGTGGTAGTGAGCGCTGTATTCTTCATTTTGTGTAAGTGTTTTTCTCCTTAGCAAATTTCTGATGGATTCTGATGTGCACATCATTTACTTAATTTGGGAATTTGTTCAGTACTTGCATTTATTGCTGACAGATACTGTGTTGGTTTTTGGTAGCTTAAATTTTTAAACTTTTGTAATATTCTTTTTTCTCTCTCTTTTTAGCTGCTAACATCTTATCATCTCCCTCTAAGAGAGGACAGAAAGGTACCCTTATTGGGTATTCTCCTGAAGGAACACCTCTTTATAACTTCATGGGCGATGCTTTTCAGCATAGCTCCCAATCGGTCCCTAAGTTTATTAAGGAATCGCTAAAACAGATCCTTGAGGAGTATGACTCTAGGCAGATCTTTTACTTCTTGTGTTTGAACCTGGTAAGAGTTTTAAATATTAGTAGCATATCTTAGAAGCTTAATCTTTTAATTCTGACAATTCTGGTATAATTTTAGTAATTCCCAAATTTCTGATAATTAGAGATAGGCTAAAATTAAATTTTCTCTAAGTAGTACAAAGATTACAGGATCATTTTCAGACTACTTAAGCAAACAATTTTTGAGACATTTTAGAAACATTGGTTTAGTGTGCTAAATGTTTTGTTTCAAATCAGTAAATATAGTAGCTTCTAAAGATTTTATCTGCACCTTGTAGAATCCCACCACAGACTAAATTGCTAACATTTTACAGCTAATTTTATTGAGTTCTACAGACATATAAATAAAACTATCTCCTTTTAAATAATGAGGTGGACATATTTGATACAGCCTAGTTTCTTACAATTTTTATGAAATGAAGTTTTAGTAGAAGTACCAATTAACTAAAGAAGCAGTTATATCTTCAAGTAAGGATTGGGTATAATTAAGGGTTAAAGTCCTCACGATTAAATTCTGATAAATCTCTCTTGAAACAATATTTCCCAACACACACCTCTCCTATTTTTTTTTTAATACATATTTTAGCTTTTTACCTTTGTGGAATTATTCTATGGCGTGTTGACCAATAGTCTGGGTCTGATCTCAGATGGATTTCACATGCTCTTTGACTGCTCTGCTTTGGTCATGGGACTTTTTGCGGCCCTAATGAGTAGATGGAAAGCAACTCGGATTTTCTCCTATGGGTAGGTACACTGACTATCAAGGTGATATAGCACAATGAAAAATCTTAAGTGCAAATTCCATCTTAGAGAATAAAATTTTATTATTCTTAATACAAATAATTGTTCATACCTTCATTTTTCTTTACTTTGAAGTAGATAAGAGGAAATGAACCAAGCATTTGATAAATACTGAGTGGCACTAAGCTCAAGATTATACTCCCTGACAAATTTCTCTTCTGGGCAGAGAGCAAAAGTCAGTTAAATAGTGACCTCTTTGCTCAGTGTGTTTCTTTGAATCAATGGAATATGCATGGTCATTCACATCTTTGCTGTTAGAGTATCCAAAATTTGAAGGGACTGTGCATGAAATATCCTTTCATTAGGTGAATAATTTAGTTCAACAAATATTAGAATCCCTGATTTTTACCTACTCCAAAAGATTAATAAATTCAGCTCTTGTTTTCAACTGTTTATATTTTTTAAGATCATTAAGCCAAAAATGCAAATGATTTTGATACAAAGCAGAATCTTTGTGCTGTGACAGAGATACAGAGCACATCAGGGTTTAAAGGCGAAGTAACTTCTTGCTAAGAAATTAGGAAAGGCTTTGTATAAAAAGGAGCATTTATATGTTGATAAATATATAAAATTTTAACAGATATATGTCCAGAAAGTACCTTCCAACATATTAGTCTGATATTTAAAATCTTGGTAATTTTCTAATCCTACTATTTATGTAGTTGAAAATTTGGACTTGTTTCCTCATTTGTAAAGTAATAATGATTGTACTTTTAAAATATTTGTCATTTCCTTTTTCTAAAAATATATTCTACATTTTTAGGTATGGCCGAATAGAAATTCTCTCTGGGTTTATTAATGGACTTTTTCTAATGGTAATAGCTTTTTTTGTGTTTATGGAGTCAGTGGCTAGATTAATTGATCCTCCGGAATTAGACACACACATGTTAACAGTAAGTCTTCTTATTTTTCTATTTGAATTTCTGCTCATACTCATACAGTTTTTTCATGCTAAAGTTTATATGTTTATAGTTATTGATCTAGGAAGGTGTTTTTTAGTTAAATAAATATAACTTCCTATCTTGCTATTTATACTGCTGACTCTTAGAAATCAATTTTCCCTAATATTAGAAGTCAGAATATTAGATGATATTCTGATACATACAGATTTCTTTCTGGCTTATTAAATGTTTTTGTTTAAAGATGTGTTTTTAAATAACTGAAGAAATTTGTTAGAGATGGAATTAGAAAAATATTATAATTTTAAGACTTTACCCATGGATTATATTACTGCTCTAGCAACGTTGAATGTTCTACGTGTACCTGCAGACCTCTCCCGGTGCTATTTCTTGTAGCTGGCCTGCCCCTCCCTTCTGACCTTCAGCCTTCCTCAAGACCTTGCTTACATGTCTCCTCTGGTGGCATACTTTCCCTTAATCCCTCTTCAAAGTTTGTTAGATTTCCCTTTTTCAATAGCCCATTTATCTTGTGCATTCTTCCTTTAGCAATATTGAGTTGTTTGTCATTCTTCCACAATTAAAATGTAAATTAAGTGTCTTCAGAACCTGAATTGTATCATTAATTCTTAAATTCTAGCACCCGGCTTGTGGTAGGACCACAGCAATTAATTGTTGAATGACTAAAAGCAGTTAAGAGTCTTAGTGGTGGAAGTATATGTTAGTAAAATGTGTTTGGATTACAGTTTGGAAAAAATTTTGAGTTTTAAATGCTCATATCCTTTGGCCTTTAATATTTTTTACAGAAATATTCACACACGTGTATAGAAGTGCATGATTCATTGTGCCATTGTTTGTAATGGTGTGGGGGGGAAATGTCCACCAGTGAAAGGACAATTTAAATAAATTTTGACTCATAGAATACTATGCAGCTATTAAAAAGAATGAAATATATCTATGCACTGGTATGAAAAATATTTACAAGATGTACTAAGTGAAAAAAATTACAAAGCAGTATTGTAATATTCTATTATTGGTTTAAAAAGACATATATATGTATATTAGTATGTGCATAGAAAATATTGGGGTTGTTGGAAAAGTCATAACACATTTTTGAAACGAAAAACATAAAAAAATACATCATGACTTTTCCGACAAGCCAATATATCATTCTCTTAAGAGTGACTAACTGTTGGGCATAGAATTGTAGGGGGCTTTCATTTTCTACATTACTTTATTTTTTCTGATGAAATATGTAAAGATGAAGTATTTCTCAGTAGAGGAAAAGTATTTATGAGGTGATGGGGTATCTGTAAGCAGTATTTGGTTTCATTCAAAATTTATTAACCATCTTCAAGCTCATAAAGCTAACTGAAATGTTTAAATCTGACAAATGGTCTGAGTCACGGGGAGAAAAATAAGCTCCGTATATGTTTACTGAAGTAAATCCCTTCTTTTACTACCTTTGAAAATTAATAAAAATTACCTGTCCCCTTTATTTTTATATGTTCTTTTTGTAAAACAAAGGGATTTCTCTAAAGGAGAAATTGTAGACGTAAGTAAATTAAATAACACCTTGAGCTACTATTCAAAGTCATTTTATAAGAGAGGATAATCAAGGGTAAGTAACTTTGTTTATCCTTTGGGGTGTTATTGTGGCACCATTAAATCAAGAGAATTCCATTCACTTTGTTAAAAGAAAAATGAGAGAGATTACTATTATATGTTTGCTTTTCCATTGTACCTTTTTTTACTCTGGGCAATTTTACTATAAAACACAGTAAGACTATATTTATTTGGAATCCACTAGTGAGTGAATTATAATCATTACTTTACAACTATTGAAATTTACCTAGTAATATAACCAAGATTTCAGGTATAGTGTATACTTGCAATAGTAAATAGTACTTTCAAATTCTTTATTTAAATAAAAGAAAACTTTAGCATCATTTATTAATTCATAAACCAGGAAACAAGTACATATTATTCTTAATAACTTAATTAAAGCAATTCCAAATCCCTTTATTTGTCAACACTGTGGTATTTTTTTAAATATTATAAAATTCACATTTAAAAAATTTTGGATTTACTTAATGAGCTTAATGAGGTTTTACAATGACTACTTTTAAAACTGTAAACAGAAAACCATATATAGCTATATACTAACTTTTAAATAAC